TCCCCGCCCCTAATTTGAAATACTATTTAGAATCTGATAATGTCTTTTCTTGTCTGTACAAACCACTGTATGAGTTGCTGCCACCTAATGATTAGAGGCTTGTTTAGCGTTCAAGCATAACAGTAGCAGCACACTTCTGTCCAGTGTGCCATAATTCATTGGGGCCCCCCACTACTTGAGAAGAACTGGTTTAGTCTGTCTCTAGGCTTTTTCCCAAAGGTTGCTTGTTCAGGCCATATCTTCAAAAAAAAAAAAAAATTCTTTTCAACAGCACTAATAAGCGCCTGCTCTGGGTGATTTGCTTTTAGCAGAAGGAGTTACATGTTCCCTTTTGATCACAGTTTATTTTCGTGATGCTACACCGGAACAGTCTTTTCTGGAAAGCTCACGTGTCTGTATTTGTGTACATTCCTGGTCGGTAAACAATTACTTTAAAGTAATCACTTCTAAGTATTCTTATTTCTTGTGGGCGGCTAGAGCTCACTAAGTGATGTACCTGGTTTATATATTCCCCTTTTAGATGACTGTAGTGTAAAGCACTTTGTGTGGTCACGAAGACGAAGTACAGAAAAGTTGCTCCATGTGTACAGGCATACTTTTGGTCCCAGTACACTTTAATTATGGAAAAGAGCTTTTTTTTTAATGTTGGTGACTCACCATCCAGGAACCTCGTAGCAACACTCGAAGCACGTCATCAACTTAAGCTTGGTAAATCCAGGTGCTTTAGTCAGGCTTAATTGTGTTACAGGGAATTTATAGGAGATATAAGTGGTGTAAAAGGTGTTTTTTTTTACTCTTTAACAGTTTGAAATAAGTACTAGTTTGAAGTAGAATTAAGGGAATGGGGTGATGTAACTTGAGATCATCCCAGTCAAGACATTGGCAAAGCATCATGTTATTTTTTTTTTTTTTTGACAACAGAGAAGACTACAAAAAAAAAAAAATCCAACAACAAAAAGCAAAAGGAAGAAGTACAAACGATGTCTGCATTCAGAGATTGACTGACCTTTATTTTACCCCGATTCTCTCTCAGGATCAGACAGGAATAAGTTAAGTTAAAGCAGTGCTTCTCAAATATCTTTTCATCCTTTGACTGGGTTTGCAAACTTATACTCAAATTGTATATCGAGTTATTATATATGAACCTATATAATTTCCATCACTTATACGCAAATTATATATCGAGTTGTTATATATGAACCTATATAATTTCCATCCACCATCCTCCGTTTGCATCACTGGAAATTTGCACGTTTGTTATTTTCACACTGACAGCCACTAGAGGGCACTGCTGCGACTTATACTCAGAAGCGTCTTATATCTGTATATGACTTTTTCTTCTTCATTATACATTTTTTTTTCCTCCTGCGACTTATTTTCCTGAGCGACTTATAGTCCGAAAAATATGGTACCGTCTTTAATCATGATTGAACGATAAACGAGCCAGGCTTACTCCAGGCTTTATTTTGATATATATCTATTCTGTACTAAGTTAAGAAGAATTGATTTTGATAATCAGGGATTATAGGCAGAATGCTGGTGCCAAGGGCGGTGTGTTGTAGGGACAGGGATAGTGATAGTGATAAGAGTCGAGCCTTTTCGGGACAGCAGGTGATAAAGTGTCCTGTGCTCCTGTAGAGAAGGCACTTTAGCTGTTTTGTGGAAAGCTGTTTAGATGGGGGAAAAAAGTAATAGTAGGAGCTGGCTTCCTCTGGGGTGTGTTCAGAGTAAAAGCATTCCTTTGCCTGCTGTTACGCAGCAATCCTGTTGTATTTTGTAATTGGCAAGAAATTAAGAAAGTCCAATTAGAGGGGAGACGGTCTTTTATACTGCCCAAGGCTATGGAAAACAACGTCATACATACAGTATGTAAGCTGTCAGTGGCTAACAAGCCGAGCTAAATGGCATAATGACTAACCTATCTGTTTGCCTGATGTCGTCTTCTGACTCTGTTGGGGTTTTTTGTTTTTGTTTTTTTAATATATGCTCCTCTGATGACCAACTTATGTTTGTGTTACACAATGACAACATTTACCAGTCCTGTCTGACGCTCCTTTAATGCTAACAGTGCACTGTTGATTAACAGAGTTGATCCCATATGGTTGGACTGTTCAAAATATCTGATTCTCCTGTTTTTTGCTTTTGTCACTTCTCTGTTACGAATCACTAGTTAGATGCACAATTGGCATTTTCAAAAGTTCCTGTTGTATCACACAAGTTTTGTGAATCACTATATGGGAAGAGAAATTGGCACGTAAGCACTTCATTTTAAACTAGGTCTTGTTAGCAAACATCATTTACTTTAAGGACAACAAAATGGACTGAATCCAAAAAAGTAAAAAAAGAATTTTTAGGAAAGGAACCTACTACATGTTGTGACACTGTACACAACAAAATGTGACCACTGCATTTTACCCATCAACAAAGTGAGTAGGGAGCAGCTTCCTTAACCACCAAGCCACCACTTCCCACAGAGGATGATCAACAATAGTGATGCACCAAAATGAAAATTCTTGTCCGAAACCGAAAATGAGGAAACCAAAACCGAAACACCAAAAGAAATGATTATCCCAATTATTAGTGCCAGAATTAAAATAACCTCACAGTCACATAGGAAGTCAGAACAGAATAGCCTATCTATTATTATCCCTTTCATGCATGACGGCCCCTACAGTGGACAGCTATTAAAATGTCATTTTCTATGATAAGAATAGGTTTTGATGGCAGGGTTGCATATAAGCCTCTACAGTGGACGCCTGAGAATCCACTGTAGAGGCTTATATGCAACACTGCCATCAAAACACAAAAGTTTATTTATCCCCAGTTTTTTTTCCATTTGTTTCCAAATGAAAAAAAAATTGGAAATTACAGATCTGGAGAGAAGAGAAAACATGCACAATTGCCGTCAATTGTTCAATAACTATTAGGTTCGGCCTGGACTTCGTCCCAGTTTTTATTTTGGCCCACAGTGAATTTGAGTTTGACACCCGTGGGCTAGAGTATTGCAGTCGTAGCACTCCTTGCACACTCCTTGGATTTCCCTAGTAAGGTCATTCATTCTTAAAGCTGTGCCATATCACTCTGGACTACCACTGTGGCGACCCCTAATGACAAAAAGGGACAAAATGAAAGTGATTTTTCCCCCTCTTACTTTTATCCCTCCAGTTTCCAGATTGGGAGAGTGGGGCTCTGCTGGACACTAGGTTTGAACCTAGCATGGATGTGGGCTGCTCAGACGATGAGGACGACGGTGAACCACACTTTGGCTCTGAGCTGCTTTCACCCAGTGGACAGACGGATGTCCAAACCCTGGCCATCATGCTGCAGGAACAGCTGGAGGCCATCAACAAGGAGATTAAGTATGCTTGCTTCGAATAAACTGCAAAACAATGATTAAAAACCTAATTGAATATGCTGTTGAGCGAAAAGGGACCGTTTAGAGATGAGTTGAATTGAAAATTTGTTTGACAACATTTTGCACGGTGAATTCAATTCAAATTAAATCGCATATGTCGTATGCCGTATGTGAAGAGCAACGGAATAAAGATCTTATCTGACCAGAGGTGCCAAAGCACTTGATAAACATTTGAGTAAAGCAGTTGATATTTCTTATTTTAAATATTTCAATTTAGCAGAACAAAACAGTAAAAAGTTACTTCAGGGATCGACCTAGAGCTTTCTAGAACTTCCAAAATGTTTAAACATATATTTGGTAGCTATTAACTTCCAAAATGTTTAAACATATATTTTTTTTTAGTGAATTCAATGACTGGGTCACTTTTTAAACACTATAAAGAATACTATTACTGCTTCTGTCACATTCCATTCTTTTTGACGTTAGATAAATGTACCGATCGGAAAAGGATCTCACTCTAATTCTTTGATTTACCTTTAAGCCCCAACAATTCCCTCACCAGTCTTTTCTCATACTCCAGACTGATCCAGGAAGAGAAAGAGAGCACAGAGTTACGTGCGGAGGAGATTGAAAGTAGGGTCAGCATTGCTTTAGATAGCCCACCCATCCCTCCAACATCACTGGGCAAAGACAGCACAGGACGAAGCTTTATCCCCTCCTCCATTACGTCTTCAACCCTGGCCTCCCCCTCTCCTCCTAGTTCTGGTCATTCCACCCCTCGCCTGCCCCATTCGCCAGCGCGTGAGAATGAAAGACAGGTACTACCTTTACTATCTACAATCCATAAAATCCTCAATTCGCTTTTGGCTTTTGAAAACATTGAGTCACAGCATATGTAGATCACACAAAAGGTAAGACAAGTAGCCGGATAACAATGTGAAAGAATGATTGATCATTCAGTTTCTTTTTTTTTTTTTTCCTTTAACATTTTTGTAGAATAACAAAGACGACGATCGTTCCCTCGCACTTTTGGACTCTCCGCCGCCTCCTACGCCAAGAGCCCTGCGGTTGGACAGGATGGCCCTCACCCACCCAGGTGCTATGCTCGATGACCCAAGGGATTACCGCAGGTAAATCGTGTCAGGACGAGATAAAGTTCGGCAGCTCTGAACCCGAGGAAATTGTGGACAACGATACGAGAGAGGAGGAGAAACAAGAATATTATCATGATTTGAATTTGTGTTTACAGATTGAGTGCTCAGTGCTCCCACAGAAGTTCCCTTAACGTTCTAGGCCAGTGATTTCCCAACTTTTTTTGAGGCTTGTGACCCCATTTTGTCATCACAAATTTCTGGCGACCCCAGAGAGAGAGAGAGATTTTTTTGCTTCTAATATAAAGTTTTTGATCATGTTTGTTATAATGTGCTGCAAACACGTGTACAGTTAGTCAAACTTGGTTGAAAAACACTAATCTAGGCCTATTGCAGCATAAGGGATAGCTCGGGTTCTCCTGACTCAACTTTACAAATGAATGATTTTTTTTTTATTATAGAAAGTAAATTGGTTTTGGTGTAAACATGTCTATGAAGATTCTCAGTCATCCAGGTCATAGTCAAGGATGAAAAGTTCCGGTAGGCAACTGGACAACTAGACGTGAGAATATATTTCATGTCCAGCTCTTTATTATTAAGTTATTAGTTTTATTTTTATTTTACATTACCCACTATTTGAGAAATACTGCCTTAGACCAAGGGTGTTAAACTCAAATTCACAGTCGGCCAAATTAAAAACTTGCACCAAGAAAATCAATATTTATTGAACATTGACAAATTGGCAATTTTGCACATTTTCCCCTTTTCTCCAGGTATATGATGTAGAATTTTTTTTAAATATGGAAATAACTCAACTTTAATTTGAAATAAGACACACATCAGTGGTATCCTTTTGTTATTGTCTTTCTCTATCTCTAGCCTTTTGAGTTCCTTTTTAATGTAAATCTTTTTTTCACAGACCAACAACAAAACTTCAAACTAAACATTTGATATGATCTCACAGGCCAAATATAACTACACCACGGGCCAGATTTGGCACGCGGGCCTGAGTTTGATACCTGTGCTTTAAGACCTCAGTGCCTTATGAGACTCTTTGCTGTTCCTGTAGAGAGTGCCCAGAAAAGGGAGCATCCATCTTATAGGCTTAGAAACTGCCATCTTAGGCAAAAAAAAAAAAAAATTGACAGTTTCTTGGGTTCTGTACGTCTTTTCTTTTCATTTAAATTGTGCGCATTTTACAGGAGCCTTAGTAAAGACGTACAAGCCTAAGCCTTGGGATTTTTCTGTGGCTCTTCCTCAGTCTTTCAGCGGATGGCACCAGCACCAACAGCAGCCAAGACTCTCTCCACAAGTCCAGCAAGAAGAAGAGCATCAAGTCTTCCATTGGCCGACTTTTTGGAAAGAAAGAGAAGGGGAGAGTCGGACAACCTGGGCGTGATGGATCACCTTCTCTGGGTGAGTCTTATTTTCTTTTTTAATTGTATCATCCCTGTGCAACAGCACTGTACTGTACTGTATGTGCCGGATGCCTTTAATTTAGTGGTTGAGTTTTACTTTTGTGACTTCTGTTCCTTTGTCTAGCATCTACTCCCTCTGAGGACATGGCCTCTGGAGATCCAATGGGAATGAACAAGACTGGGACTCTTGGTCCAGCAGACAAAGACCGGCGCAGCAAGAAGAAGTCAGTCTTAAAAAACAAACAAACAAAAAAAAAAACATAGACATTTGTCTATTTAGCCCTTTCATGCATGACGGTCACTACAGTGGACAGCTATTAAAATGTCATTTTCTATGATAAAGAATAGGTTTTGATAGCAGTGTTGCATATAAGCCTCTACTGTGGACGCCAAAGAATCAGTTCTTATTTTTATGTCTAAAAACACATAAAAACACTTAGTACCATTTTTTTAACTCGGTATATCATGGCTCATGCATCAAAGGGTTAAAAGGAGCAGCAAATTGAAGGATTGTATTTTGGTGTTTTAAACAGACATGAGCTGCTAGAGGAAGCATGTCGCCAGGGTCTTCCGTTTGCATCTTGGGATGGGCCCACCGTTGTGTCCTGGTTGGAGGTAGGCTGATGAATAACGGTAACAACAATCGATAAAGTTCAATCAATAAAGTTATTTACTACTATTATTTTTTTCACTAATATTGTTATTAACTATAAGAATGTAATGCCTAAACTGGAAAATGCTAATTGGAAGCCGATAAACCAAATCCCTGAAATGATGCAAAATTCGTTTAAAGTTATCCAAAAAAAATTTAAAAGCTTGATATACGTATAGAGAAAATAAGATGGCCAGAAAATTAAATTAAATTAAATTAAATATATGAAGAGTTTTTAAAAAAAAATATATGTCAGTAACTTTGCCTAGTAACCAAACAATTAGCTTCAAGGTTTTTACAGCATTACATTAAACTGCTACGCTAACAGCAAGAACTTAGATAACTAGGGATGGCTCAATACAACTTTTTCATGTCCGATAACGATACTGCAACTGATGTCAGTCCAATACCTTCTTGTCCCCTTCAGCATGCCGTGGGCTGCCTTTACTGAGGTAATAGTGTACCTGTTTACGGCATTTAGCAAGTAAAGTGACAGCAAGTAGAGTATTTTAGGCTAACAGTAGATATCGGACCAGACAGCTTTTTTTTTATTTATATGTTTGATCCTGAAATTTTGACCAATATCAGACATTAGCGACCCCTAGTATTGGAAAACGAGCCCCTTTTTCCAACTTTTAACATTTCATGTTTTTTGATGGGAAAAATGTATAAGTATGATGGACATTAAATAACAAATCACATGCATGGTCTTTTTCCTCTTAATTCCAGCTGTGGGTGGGAATGCCAGCCTGGTACGTTGCAGCTTGTCGTGCAAATGTGAAAAGCGGCTCCATCATGGCAAACCTCTCAGATACTGAAATCCAGAGGGAGATCGGCATCAGTAACCCACTGCATCGCCTGAAGCTGCGTCTGGCCATTCAGGAAATGGTGTCTCTCACTAGTCCGTCGGCCCCAGCCAGCACTCGCTCGGTGAGAATCTGAACACACTCTTTTTTAACACGGCGTACAAGAAAGCAAATGTAACCAAGCGTACTCATCAAAAATTATATTTAGAAAATAAAGTTTGTTGGGCCAGATTAAAAAGCTAAACGGGCTGCATCTGGCCGCCGGACCTTAGTTTGCCCATGCCTGATGTAGTGAGTGGGTCATGTACGTTATGTTGTAAGGGTGAAACTTCAAAAACGAGGTCCCATAAGCTCATACTTAATTTTGAGTTTGTGCTCAAAACATTAATATTTTTATAATGTTCATAAACAGAGAAGCTAACATTTTGAAGCGAAACGCGCGTGATTGCAAGCAATACGCGTAAGTACAGGCTATCACAACATTTTTACTGTCAGCAAGCTAACCAACTATTACCCCCAGAAAATTGTCCTATTATTTTCATTATCATTTACAGTATTTTCCGTAGAGAGTAGTTTCTAAGTAGAGAAAAGAAACACATATATGTCGCTCCAGAGTCGCACCAGCCAGCTAGAGTGCCCTCTAGTGGCTGGCAGTGTGAAAACAACAAACAAGTACATTTTCAGGGGTACAGGAGTAGCAGACACTGGTACACAAGCCTAGAGTGCCCACTAGTGGCTGTCAGGGTCAAAATAACAAACATGTGAAATCATATATTTTAATATATAAGTCGCACCTGAGTATAAGTCACAAACCGAGCCAAAGGATGAAAAAAAAAAGTGCGACTTATATTCCGGAAAATACAGTACACACTTCCGAACGATCTTCCAATGTCAAGCCTAGTCAAAAAATTGTATTCAAAAAGCTCTTCCTTTTATTTTTAAGTAACTAAAGAATACCTTTATCTACTGTCGGCCAGTCAGTAGCGGTTTTACGAAAAATGTTGCATTTTGTGTAACATTCACTTCCAAAAAGAAAACAGAGCATTACTTGTTTTTTTAATTTAACCCTTTCATGCATGGCGGTCACTACAGTGGACAGCTATTAAATTGTCATGTCATTTTCTGATAAGAATAGGTTTTGATGGCAGTGTTGCATATAAGCCTCTACAGTGGATTCTCAGGCGTCCACTGTAGAGGCTTATATGCAACACTGCCATCAAAACCTATTCTTATCATAGAAAATGACATTTTAATAGCTGTCCACTGTAGTGACCGTCATGCATGAAAGAGTTAATGTGACAGAATTACATTGTCCTTTGCATTTTGTACACACCCCAGTCTCCTCGCACCGCATTTACCTCTTGTCCCAGAATCAGAAAATGCATGTTATATTATCAGCCACTGAGTCAGATAGACCCATAAGACAACACAAGGGTTAAAGACAAGCCACATGGGCTATAGTTACGAAATAAAAAAATCATTATGCATGTGCCTTGATATATTTCCAGTTCTCCTCAATTTCTATCTTACCAAGATCAGTCTTATCTGTGCCCCCGCCCCAACTCCTAACTCCACAAAATAATTAGCAAACCTGACCCTGCTACTCAAGCTTATAAAAAGAATAGTAGTAGCAGTACACAGCCTGCGTTTGCTTCTAAATAGCGTCATAAAAAACAAAATCGCATACCATGTTCTAACGAAATAATCCTAAAACTATGGTGGATATCATGGACCTGTGTTTACTGCAGTTTTTAGCGGGGGGAAAGAAGGGTATTTTAGCCGTTCATGTTCTCATACCCTAAGAAGCCTCGTCTAGACAGTTTCCCTGTAGAGTTAATTTGAAGAACCCTTTAATTGGACCAAAGTAAAAATTTAAACACCTTCATGTGCTCACTTTTACATTAATCAGTCTCTGCAGTTTTTTTTTTTTTGTTTTTTTTATATTAGTTGTGGGAGGTACTTTTCAAAGCACATGTGATTGTACTTATGTGATTGCTTCAAATGTTAATGATCCCCGTTGGAAAATATGCCACATAATTTAGCAGTTAGAAACGGAAACAGAACATCATCTGAACCGAATAAGAGCAAACAAGGATGATGTGCAGAACGAGGCTGATGTTTTCAGTGCAGTGAAAATAAAAATTATAGTTTTTTCGATAAACGTACGGAAAAGATGATTCTAATAAAAAAGTGCAACGACATTTGGTTCTGCTCAGTGACTGCGTTTGAATGACTTTTTTTTTTAGCACGCTATTACTACAAAGTCTGGCAGTAGGAAACACATGGGAGGCAGTTGTGGGTGGTGAAACAAACTAAACGGGAAAGCGGGCAGCAGGGAAGGGCAATCACTCAAATAAAAGGATCTTAGGATGTTATTTTATTTAGCGTACATTTTTGTCATACGTTGAATTTCCATACATCTCACACATCATTTACTCTTTACAGTTACGTGCACGAGTTCATTTTAGATGACAGATAAAATATGGCAAAAATCAAGGCTAGTTCTTTTCTTAAGGTTCTCCAAAAACGATAATAACAATAAACCTTACAAAGACACCTGGCATTACTGATACGACCACCGGTGTGTGACAATGATACTACGGTTAGGAGGCTGGGGTAAGATTTAGCCGTATCTCTTCTAGGATTTTATAGCTAGCTTAGCTATATTTTAGCAACAT